AACACTTTTACTTATGTCAATTAATTTTTTTTTTTTTTGAGGCTCTTGAAAGCCTTCCATTTCGCTATGTAGCTCTTATATTTAATGTGGTGAAAAATTATTTGTGCATGCTGGATTTGTTCCGGAGCAGAACTTAAACTGCACATGGCAATGAACTTCTCGTTACTGATATAGGATTTTTTGTACTAATAATTATGTTGCATTTATATTATTTTTGTATAATGATGTCTGTTTGCAGCCATAATCTAAGAGCCATTCAAGATGCAGAGTTGGGTCTAGCTGTTCTGCACTGTTCCTGTCAATTTCATTGCAATCCCAATATCTCACAAGGTAATTACTGAGGTAACTTTCAACGAGTTGACAATTTAGCAGTTTGGCGATTTTTATTGCAAGGTTTGGTTTTGCAGCATTGTGCTGTTTAGTTGGTAGTGATAGGATTATACACACTGTTATCATGTTATAGATGTCAGTATGCTAAGCATTGTGCATGCTCAGTAACAAACCAGCTTAGTCTGTTATTCAGTCAAATTGCATGTGTTTTTTGTTTTTTCTACATATTATGTTTTTTTTTATACCTCTGTTAGTTTGCAAAACATTAGATGTAGTATTTTCTAAATCACAAAATTTTACCCATCAGAAACCGCTTGGACAAGGTCTGAAGAGCAAGGACTTGTTTGATTTTTGTGTGTTGGATCCATCTTTCTGATCAAATTTGGCTGCCTGGTATTATTTTTTCTATATGACAGGGCGATTTCAACCAAACATTGCAAACATTGGGTCGCAGCCACATTTTAAACTTTTGAGATCTAATTTAAGATGTTTTTTGGTGGTCATTTTGTTTTTACTATAATCCTACCTGTTTCTCCAAATCAACATTTAGTACTGTTTCAAACCTTTACTGCTACCCTTAAATTTGCATTCCTACTTTGTATTATAAGCAGAACATCTCCCACTAGTTATTTGAATCACCATGAAAAAAAATTATAAATTCAGTTGATATTGCAATCAAACACTGAAGCTAGTCTGGTGTAGACTTGCATACAGTTCCTTGTTTATTTGTTGTTTTCTCAATAAAATAAAATGTGAGAGTGTAAATTGTGAAAGTCGGGTTACTGCACAGAAAACTAGGGACTTGTGACCCTTGCAATGAGTGTTTCAATGACATCACAGATTGGCGTGATTTACTCAAAATTTTGACCTTAACGCTGATTGGTGGAATATTAATGAACCTGTCAATCATTGCATCACACACTGAACTCGAACCGGTGACAATCATCACCGGGGTCGCAAGAGGGCGTCTGCAAGGCTCGCAAGTCCTTTTTTTTTTTTTGTACGGTAACCTGACTTTCGCGGTAACTTGGCTTTCGCCTTTTACACTCCCACAACATTTTATTTTATTGAGAAAACAACAAATAAACAAGTAGCTACCGATATATGCAAGTCTAGTTTTTGGTGGTCTAATTTTCATTGTTGTAATCACTTGCGCACTTCCCGTAATTAAGAAGGTTTTTTAAATTTGATTTCATGATTCTGTCGGATAAGATTTCTTATGAACTGAACAAAATTTAAATCCCTTACTGAGATCAGTGAGATGTTTTCTACAGATTATACAAAGAGGGAATGTAACTTAGTCTTGGTCACTTCATATGATTACAAAAAGTCAAGTCACTTAAATTATTTATTGAACAGGACTAGATTGTTTACAATGACTTGTTTACTCTTGTGTTCTCTTCAGCGGGTGTGAATCTTCTCCAGCCTCTGCCGTCACAAACACTGGGTACACAAGAAATTTTAGCAGCGGATACGGAAACATCACAGGTTTTCACGCAACACAGAACGCAAAACATTCTGTCAAGAAGTTCTTTTGCCATTCCCTCCACCAGTGAAAGTCAGATAGCGAGTAAACGGTTGAGAGTAAAAAAAGAAAGGGTGTCTGGTAATCAAGAGTCATTAAATCAGCGGACGACTGGTGTGAGTTCAGAGGGAGGGACTGATATTTCAAGATTACCTGAAACTCCAGAGTCCAAAGGAAACAAAATGAAAGCTGGTGCAAGGAAAAGGTTAGAATGATTGATGATGTCAAATCAACAGTACTGATAATGTATTTGTTGTATGCAAATCTATTGTGTCCTATGGTCAATGTTTACAGTTTTGGTTGTGTCTAGTTTGTAATTACACATTTCTGTTAATATTCAATAATTGATGTGTGTCGTAGTCCACATCTTTCAAGATTATGTCAAAACCGCTGTGATGTGTTGACTCAGGAACACACAAAACATCAAAGAAACCAGAGAGCTTTCAAGTTTAACTTCTCGTTTATCCGCCATTTTCAGTTACACCAATGGCACTACTTTTTACATATCAATACACTTGGGTGATCAGGTGACATATAACACCATTACTAAAGTATGTATTCTGACGCATGCAATAAAATAGTCCCAAAAAACGTCACAACCATTTTGACAGGTGTCTATATAATAAAATCAAATACAAATGTCTTTCAGGGAAAGAGAGGTTGATACAGGAACAGCTGATGAGGTTGGTGTGAGCAGTATTAAACAGGAACCTCTATTGTATGATTTGTCAGAAATTCAGTCCAGCACATCAGAGAGCAATTTACAGAATCTGACAGCTCCCAGAAAAATAACTACAATGGTTGAGGAAGAAGTTGTGAGACAAAGTCCGAGAAAGCGTGCGAGAATAGCTGAAAATCAACCTACAATTTCAGAAACTCTGCAAAAAGCAGCGGTTGAGGAAAAACTCTTGAGGAAAAGTCCTAGAAAAGTAAACAAGGAGTTGGTCACTATAAGTACGCCAACTAAAAGTTGGCAAATAGAGAGTCACTCTAAAAAGCGAGATGATGAGATTTGTGATGGGAATACTGGGACGAAAACTCTTTTAAAACAAGAAAGAAATAACCACAATGAAGATGCGGCTGCCACCAGTAAAAGAAAGAGGCTGGATATCTCTGATGATGACGACGAGGGCCTATGGAGGAAAAGACCAAATATAAAACAGGTTTGATATTATTTTTTCAGCAGTTCTTAGAAGAGATACTTTACTATTGCAGGCATGAGTGTAAGCTTCTATTGTTTTAGTTTGTTGATTGGACGGATGTTATGATAATTTTGTGATTTTCCCAATGCATTAAACCATACTCTATCAAAACCATATCATTCAAAACTTAGTTCAGGTTTAGTTTATTTATTTTTTGGTTATAGGGAGTACCTTGTAGGAGTAATTTTCAAGAAATTCCCTTGTCAACTATGTGTTAGCCCTCAGTGATAGAGGGACTGTGGTTAGCCATGTCCTTCCTTGATTTATCAAGATTGGGCTAAAATAGCTGAAGCTAATTTGAACTCAACAGATTTCTGTTTGTTAAAGTATCGCAGTTACCACCATTTTCAACATGAGTTCTGTGCACCTTTGAACATTTTTTTTGTAATCCACACCAAAATTACCTCTGTAGTTCCAAATGTTAACACATAAAATGGTGGAATATGTAAACAGTACCTCGGAAGCTGGCTATGCATATGTAAACATTACTTAGGTAGCTGGCTATGCACATGTAAACAGCCCCTAGACAGCTGGCTATGCACATGTAAACAGCACCTACACAGCTGGATATGCACATGTAAACAGTACCTACACAGCTGAATATGTACATGTAAACAGTACCTAGACAGCTGGTTATGGACATGTAAACAGTACCTAAACAGCTGGTTATGCACATGTAAACAGTACCTAAACAGCTGGTTATGCACATGTAAACAGTACCTCGGAAGCTGGCTATGCATATGTAAACATTACTTAGGTAGCTGGCTATGCACATGTAAACAGTACCTAAACAGCTGGTTATGCACATGTAAACAGCCCCTAGACAGCTGGCTATGCATATGCAAACAGCACCTAGACAGCTGGTTATGTACATGTAAACAGCCCCTAGACAGCTGGCTATGCATATGCAAACAGCACCTAGACAGCTGGTTATGTACATGTAAACAGCCCCTAGACAGCTGGCTATGCATATGCAAACAGCCCCTAGACAGCTGGCTATGCATATGCAAACAGCCCCTAGACAGCTGGCTTGCATATGCAAACAGCCCCTAGACAGCTGGCTATGCATATGCAAACAGCCCCTAGGCAGCTGACTATGCATATGCAAACAGCCCCTAGGCAGCTGGCTATGCATATATAAACAACATCTACAGCGAGCTATGCTGCTTAAAAATTCCTTTTTTGACAACTAAAAACTAATTTTCCAGTTATTTGCATGCTATAAATAATGTAAGAGACATATCACCATGGATTCACTTGTTTGGTACCATGGCAATTAATTTTATCAGTATTACATACAACCATTGTTATTGTAGGAAGTGGTCCAAGCTACAAGTGAAGACCATTTACTTGATGACGACCAAAGGCAGCCATTCACTGGTGATATTCCACAAGGTTTTATAACAACACT